CGCCCTAATATTAGCCTCAATCTCTAACAAGGTTATAACAAAAATTTTGCTATCTCTCTTAGATTCCGAGATATTGATGGAAAACTGGTCAATAGTCAAAATTGGCTTATCTCCTTTTACCACTTCGCTACTGAAATTCTAATTTTCTGGTTGACACGGCATTAAATATGGTGATACTATAAATTTGAGTCGGTAATTATCCTTAATCATTCATCTATTTAAAAGTAACTCCGATAAAGGAGTAAATGCATTACAATTCAAAGAGCATACAAATTTAGAAAGACAGGATACGAACGACAGAACAAAATTCATGAGCAGATTGTGAGGTTTATTCAAAACGCAGGTAACTTAATTTCTTATGTGAAGTCTATGAGTCATGTACATATCATAGATGCATGCTCATCAGCTGGGGCTTGTTCGGTTAGAGGGTGAAGGAGTCGCCTGGTCAACGGATCTCTCTTTTTTAGAGAGAGAGGGTCAACGGATCTCTCTCTCTAAGAAAGAGAGATCCGTCGACTAGCGACACCTTCACCCTCTAACCGAACAGGCCCCAGGGATGTGAAGTGACACCACGTTTTAAAGTACGTCCGTACCGAAAAAAGTCAGTAATGTGAGGTCAATTTTCTAGTAATCATCATTGCGCTAATGATGTTGTCTTTTTCCCGTCACATACAGAACTGTACATGAACGAAACCATTTATGGCAATGACGTTTTTAATCTTAGAAATTTGGTTTTCATTCTGTATAAAAACATGAAGACTATTTCTTTTTCACTCCGGCAATGACGGTCTGTATCAACCTCGTTGGCCATTACAACCCTTTCAGACCACAAGCAAAAAACACTATTAATTGAAAAATTCCAGTCACCTTCATGATTTCAAATCGTGAGGTATTAGTGGCACCTTCAGCTCCTATGTAGCGCTCATAAAGTTTTTCAGAAGTTTTGTGACCTGCACTAGGAGAACAACTGTAATCGAAATGTAACATCCCCGCTATGACTTCATGAAATTTGGTTTTCAATAGATCTCTGTGTTGATCATTTTTCTGGTCATAAAGTGCTGAGAAAATAAATTAATAAGATTCATCAAGGAAGTGTGGGTAAAAAATCCTAAGCGGCTGTATCTGTGAAACAGGAGTTAGAGTTAACGTGGATACGTCTAGGTTGTTATTCATGCCACTGCACGGAGAGAAATATTCAATAAAAATTACGTATCTTTTCCGTAATTCCGGAGCAAAATGTGGTTGTAGGAAATTTTACGGAACTGTCACGGAATTTTTCCGGAGTGTTTCGTAATTTTTATCTGAATCTCCTGTGAAAAATTGCGATTCTGTCACTTAAATTTTCTGAGTCGATTCACACGTAATTTTTCTTCAATTGCTCAATTCTCCCAGACGTCTCAATTCACGTGGCTCGAGGAACGTCTCGTGCTTTAAAATATTCTTGTATTCAAGTATGATTTTCAAGGCTTTATTGTTTTCATAATTTTTTTAATGCAGTTCCAATGTTTCAATATGGAATACATTCATGATGTAACGCGAAAAGATAATGCTTAATGAGAATTTATTTGAGTTCTGTGAAGCGCAAACATTCTCAGATTTAAGCCATTGAAAATAATTCACTCCTGTCAAGTAAATATAATCTGCATATTAGCAAATTTTTCTCTCAGGGTGTGCGGCCGTGTTGAAGTGCCAGTGTATTGTGAATGGATCAGTCGCCACCAGGGATACAAAAGAAAGACATCACACGTCACGAACCGGTGAAATGAAACGTCAGCGAGGTTCATGTGACAGGAACAACCACGACGATCTGTCGTCACGTGACGAAAATGTGACTATTTTACCATGTGACCGTCATATTCCCTCTAACTAGTGGTAGACTAGGGGACGCTAGTTCAAAATTCGATGATTTCTCCATGGTAGCTGTCATAGATCGGCAATTACAAAGCATTAATATGAGTATCGATGACATCTCGATTTGAAAAAGATAAAAGCCAGTGGTTAATTGGTTGATTAATATATAAGTACCATTTCTCGCACTGGCAACGGTCGAACAGTTGAGATCAATGAATAAATCTGATTTTACACAACATTCATTTTAGATTAAAAGGTTCGAGCGCGGACTGAGCCAAAATTCCACAACAATTTTTTATCCAAATTTTCAGTAGTAATACCACGAGACCTCCAAAACTATCGGATATTTCCCACTTGTTTTATTGCGTAGCAACGATAGGGAGAAGTTTTGCAGATTAAAATCCCGAGCGCGCAGCGCGAGGGATTTTTGTGCAAAACTTATCCCGATCGTTGATACGCAGGAAAACGTGAGGGAAATGTCCGATTCATTTTGAAGGTCGAGTGGTATTCGACGGATTATTTTTTGTAATCGGATCCTTCCCAAACCGACTCATTTTGACTTTCTTTATGACTTTCTTTCACTCCACAGAATAATTTATTTGTCAGTTATTTGGTTAGAGAAACAATTGCAGAGCTAGAGGGAAATTCTCAAAAGCTAGGGGGAAATAACCGCTGTAATTTGAATTGGGAAGTACTTCATGTTATTGAATGTTGAACTCTGATTGGCCCAGGGAAGGCCAGATCCGATTACCAAAAATAATCCGTATAATATTTATATGAAAATTGCCCAGTATTTTCAAACCGAATATTCCACGGAATTTTCAACTAGAAATTCCACTCTACATTCAAGATTTTCTGGCTAAAGGTCCTTAACTTTTGCAACGAAAAACCAGTGAAATTGGAAAATTTGTAAGTTTCTGTAACAAAAAAATTCATGACAGTCACGTTACATCTAATTAGTTGATTGTCATACGTCAGTCGATAGTGTGATCTAAATTCTGACGCGGAAAAAATGACGTCACATTAGTCACATGATCGTCATATTTTTCTGACGTTATTTCGCAACCCTAGTCACCACCGAAATATGACGTTGAGCCTAAACGCTGTATCAAGGATGCAGCTGCTTAGGATTTTTTTTTATTGGATGATGGATTATGGATTGACACAAATTGATTTTTTTTAAATATATCCAAATGTTATACAAAATCCGAGAATTTTTTCAAATTTTCTCGAAAACTGGAAAAGTTACACAAATTTTCTATAAAACCGAACAATGTTCTCGATTTTTTTAGAGAAATCAAGCATTCCGACAGATGGCATTGGCTGTTAGGGATAATTCTGCGAACAACTCTCAACATGAAATTAAACACGTATTCACGTCAAAAAATGTCAATCGGTCACCTGCGGTGTGTAAAGCTCCTTCATGAGTGGTAAATCCCATCATCACTGGCACTTGTAACTGATGGTGCATGTCCATTGGTTCTCTTATCAAAAATGCACCGTCAATATTTTTTTCCAGCACTGGTCGGGACGCCCTGTGTGGATATATATCAAAACCCTGGAACATTGGTTATTCACAAGGAAAGCACTATGAACATTCAGGATTATTGGTGAATTTTGGATATTCCATTACTGGCAAGGTTTGCTGAGCAGCGAGGATCTCCTCGGGTTTTTTCTCTCTGAGACAAGACAGAAATTCAATGGATTTTTTTAAAGGACATCCAACTTGTTCTCCAATCTCTTCAGCAACTTCTCGTGCCATTTTGGGGGTTTGGAAAGCCCATGGATTAAAAGGAGTTCCACTTTGCGCAATCACCCGATGAAAAAGATCTGCAATGAATAAATTTCACAAGAAAACTTTTTTCTTGTTGAATTTACAGGGTATCCCATCAAATGAGACTTAAATATTTCAAATTTATTCGAGTCATTGCGAAGGGAATAAGTAACTATACACGGAGAAAAAAGTTAGACAAAAATTACCAAACAAGTAATCGTAGAGCGAAAAAACTAGATTTTCAGTACTTTTTCAGCCCATATCGGGGAAAAAATCTGAGATGAATAGTAAATTTTTCTCTGTTGGCCTGGAAAAAATTACTGAACGTGAGGGTAATTTGGTTCGAAATTGTAAAATTTACGCTGCATTCTATCAAAAATTATTCCCGTGAACGTGAATGATTACTCAATATTGCGTATAATTTTCCTGGAACGAAAAATGATTTTTTACCGAATGCGTTTAGTAAAATTTCACTTCCATTCGTTTCCATCACGTGAAAAAATCGTATTGAAATTTTCTATACGGATTGCGTACAGAATTTTTATAAGATTTTCGTATATGATATTCAGATATTTCTATACGGATATTTTGTATACACATTATTTCTATACGATTTCTATAGGTTTGATCCTATACGACCCACTGCCACATCTATGAAACATTTTCTATGTAGTTGCGACATTCCTCTACGTGTTTCTCTGGAGTGTTTAGACATCTGTCGTATGAAAAAAAAAATTTATGTCAAAATTTATGGATAGAAATAATTCGTATAGAAAATATTCGCATAGACATATCCGAATATCATATACGGAAATTCTATAGAATTTCTGTACGCAATCCGTATAGAAAATTTCTATACGATTTTTTCGTAGGTGATAACCTTCTGATAGGTGCAAGAAAAAAATATCCTAAAATATCCAAGAAAAAAATATCATCGATGTGTTTTTTTTGAGCAAACGAATCGTAAAATATGCTCCGCAAACAGGTGTTTTTTCATTGAATTACATTTCGCCCCACAATTATTTTTCGCAGAGTAGAATTTGCCACGATTTTCTAGGTAACTTTTATCTAACTTTTCTATTCGTGTATGGATCTCTGATTCAAGTCGCTGACGAATTTCATAGTTGCTTCCTTGAATTAAAAGTGTTTTTCGGGTACGGTAATCTATATTTCTATTCATAATATTGCATATTTGTTCTTTTCCTCCCTCTCGACTGTATTATGTGTGTGATCGTCTTGTTTTTTCTCGTCATTCTTTCATCTTCACTCTTATTCCACGGACGTGTAATTTCTTCTCTTCATATTATGTATTTCACCCCAAATTCTTTGAATAACATCATTAATCATTAAATAGGCACATCCTTTACTACATAATTTAACCACAAAGTATAATATCACCTTCCGTTCCTGAAGCCATCATGAAGTAATAGGCGCTAGCAGCACCAGCCCCATTTCCGAAGAGCGTAATGCTACCTGTATCACCAGCAAAAAATACAATATATTTGTTGACCCATTTCAACGCCGCAAGCTGATCTTTCAAACCATAGTTGCCTGGCATGACTTCGTCTCCAGTACTAAGAAACCCAAATGGTCCAAGTCTGCAGAAAATTGATAAATTTTCCGGTGTTACACTATGTTGTACAGTGGAGTCCCCTTACTTTTTCCGACTCCAGACGTGTCCTTGAGGGAATTTCGTGGGAAATCTCTGCTAAGGAATCGCTCCCACTCCTTCACTCTAGGTAGGATTAGAGGGGGTAGGATTGGAGGTGGGAGGTTATGAGCTAACGTGTTATCCATGCCATTTGTGAATCATTGCGCATTTTCGCGCGAATGACGTCGGGAACAAGGATAAACGATGCACCAGGAGTGGGAGAACTTTTTTGAGGGAGAACAAGCCGCAGGGGAAAGACTGGAAAAAGTAAGGAACTGGAAAACTAAGGGAACTCTACTGTAATGCGACGGTCAGATTAGGAAATTAGTAAATTAATCATGACGTTGTTATATGGACAGAATTTATCACATTCTCGTTCGTCTCATGACGGTCACTGGGGGCCATCTTCCTTCATAACGCAGTGGTTTAAATTTCAAAAAACTAATTCGTAATTGTTGCTTTCGGGTCACTCGTCGTTAGCAGCCGTACCGAAGAAAACATTGACGTACCAAGGACTATATCTGGAACTTGTACCTCAGGGAAGGGTCAATATGAAATCAGTAACGAAGTGGTAAAACGGTTTAAATCGATTTTGACTATTTGCCAGTTTTCGATGAATATCTCAGAATCTAAGGGAGAAAAATTTTTGACGAGACCTTTTCTATAACACAATTTGCTCTACGAAAGAGATCTGTTTGAAACGTAGCTATCCTCAGCTTTTACCCGAGTGGAAATTCCGGTCAGGTCTTGATCAAGTTTGGATCAGGTTAGACCTGACCACTTATCAAGTATTGATCAAGTTGACGGATCAGGTCTTGATCAGACATGTTACGCCTTTGACCAATCCGGATTTGATTAGGACGAATGGATCCGAACTTAATCAAGTCAACTGTATGAAAACTGGATGACCTGTCTGTAAGTATTAATAACAATTATCAATGATAATAAATCCAAAACAAAAGATAATCCAATTCTTTCACCGTAGGCCGCCTGTCTTAATGAATCTCTGCTGTTGTTACCTTTGAAAAAGCTTATTATTTTTTTACCGATGCTGGGGATCGAACCGGGGGCCCTATGATTGCTAATCGTATGCCCTAACCAATAACAATAACACTAATAAATAAATAGACATTTGGTGATTTTTTTCTCAAGACCATTTTCGTGTAAGTTTGATACTCCTCTAATACGTATTTAGGGCATCATCATCCCTCCCTTCTGTACATTTGAGAAGGGCTGGCTGTTAATTAAATTGATTAATTAAATTAATTTAATTTAATTTATTTTAATTATCGTATAATGATTTTTTTTAAAGATTAAAAATAATTATTGATAATGGTTGTTAAAACTTAATTTGAATAGTATAATAATAGTTGATTAAATTATCCGAAAAACTTATTAAAATTAATGTCAGGTGGAGCGGATCTGAATCTGATCATTTTCTCTTCAATTGACCCCTTTCAAATGCCGATCAAGGATATCAAATCCGAATTTGATCAAATGGGGGTCAGGCAGCCGACCTCAGGGTGAGATCGTGCCTACTTGATCAGAACTTGATTTGAATCATCCTGCAGTTTTTATGATCCGATCTACTGGATCAAAACTTGGTCAGGTTCTCATCAGGAATCACTGGATCACTCGAACTTTACAAAAACCTGATCAAGTTCTGATCGTGCTTCAGGTGGGCCTGAAGCAATTTCCACTCGGGTATCTATTAGTCAAACGGTCGGTCCTATAGACAATCCTTGAGCACCATCGTGAGCCTTCGGTTGAGCGGTCAGACGATCGCGAAAATCCCAAAAAGTAGTACATCATCAGCCTTTGTAGAATCAACGTGTTGTGTCGTTCAAAGTACATCACCGACGCGTCACGTGAAAGTATACCACCTCAAATTCAGTGAATTATCAGAAACAATTGGCAAGGACAATTAACAGTTATTTAGTACATCACCCACTGTAATTATAATTTGAGACACTCAACACCCAAGTTCAAACCAAAATGTAAATTTTACGGTTAACGAAGTGGTTCGATTTCACTAAAATATACACATTTACTGACATTTTATAATTCAGTGCTTTAATTAATTTCCAGCCTATCCTGAAACAATACCTCTCACATCCACCCTAAAATTAGATCCTCATCTCAAACAAGGTCATTACAAAAATTTCGTTATCTGCCTTAGATTCGGAGGTATTCCTCAAAAGCTCAGATGAGAGCTAAGTCGACTTAAACCGTTTTACCACTTCGCTACTGACATGAATTCGACCATCGCGTCAATTATTCCGTACAAGAATATTTTAAGGTATGAAAATTAAGCAATTGAAGAAAAATACATGTCTCATGCAAACATGTTTCAGATATTAGAATTGTTTTCTCAGTGTGCTATTCATTCTCAACACCAATATCTCAACCAGAAGCCAGCGTACGTATAATGTACAGCTAATACTAGAATTTCGGTAAAATCATAATCCCTTACCTATAATTCAAGGTAACCAAAACAATGTTATGATCCAGTAAGTATGTGGGACTGTAATAAGATGAATGTCCTGAACCAGTCTGAAACCCCCCACCATGGATCCATACCATGACTGGATATCTAGGCATAGAAGATTTTTGCCGATTTGCCAGCAACGGCGTGTAGATATTCAAGTGCAGACACTCTTCCACACCTATAATTTCGTCCTCCATAGGACTTACAATTCGTTGGATGCACCTTGCTTTGTCGGATTGAGCTTTAACAAAGCGGGGGGTGGCTAGTACAGGATCCTATAATAGTGAAAGTCAATCGCATGACAGCTCATCAAGAGAAATTTTCTCAATTACAGAAATGTTACCGAAAACCGTAAACTGCCGATGGGCGGTGAAGCGTAAGGTACACCGCGGAATGCTGAGAAGTTCCTCCCCTTTCGGGATTCCATGATTTTACCTCGAAATCTTCCATACGCAGTGTCCAAATAAATATCACAATTAATGGAAATCATTGAAGTGAAGAGATAACACCAGAAAGTTAGGAAACTGGCTGTCATCACTGATATATTCCTCATGTTGAAGAATTTTCAAACAATGTATGAGCGCTCTATATCGTACTTCGTGAGCAAAATACTGATAGTAGCGATAGGAAAAAAAAGAGACGCGACCAAACAATACTTAAGTGAAGAAGGACATATGTGATATTGAAATGGGACACATTGGGTGATGTTTACACTTTTTTATTGTTAGGCCAACAATTTCATAGTTAGTACTTCGTCGATCTCAATGAACTATTCAGGCATTTCTGATGTTTTTACAATCAGGGATATAGACGAAGGCGGAAAATAGTCGAGAAGTTATTGTACAGTCCAACCTTCGTACAAGATACCACAGGGACGGTAGGGGAATAAATTGTGCTGATTGGTCGCAATCCAAGTGGGAAAAATAATCAAAATAAAACTGATGTAAACCTATCATGTAGTCCCGAACTCTGCACTCTGACTGATCGAAATCAGAATTTAAGAAATTCTTATTTTTATGAGAAAATCATTAACAACTTGGAAAATTCCGGCAGCCGCGACCGTGAATTCCCAACCTATTCAAATGTCAATTGATCTTAATGATCTATGTTTACGATGAGCTTCAAAAATGAAGATGTTATTGGAATATCAATGATCGCTTCACACCAAAACAACAACTTTGTTGAATTTCCGAGATAACGGAGAAATCCCATTAACGATTTCACCTTCGAAATAATTCAAATTCACGATATTTATACTTGAAATATAACTCTTACTCAGATTTAGAGGAATTATTTCCAACTTGTACGGCTATTATGCTCACGCATCAAAATTTTTGTTACTATCATTCAATTGTTTTGGTGTCCGGCGTAATGAACTTGTTCTTTTATGCTTCGTATTATTTTTTTGGTATTGTTTTCTCTGCCTACCGATCATTGCTCGCCGGAGTAAAAATATCTTCATATTTCATATCATATTTTTTCTTGGCGGAAAAATAAGTCTCATTTACAAAGGGAGCGCAATAATTTTCCTATAATTTTTTCTGCGTATGTAGAATGAAACATTTCTGAATTGTTGATCTATCGATTCTTCTATAAATATTCATTTCACGCTTAGAACACGGAGAGAAACGTTGGGTGGAAATTATCTATAAAATCGCGCAAATTTTACTGTACAAAAAGGTAATCGTGTAGCGAAATGCCAATTCAATAAAATAGTATATTTCCTAACGAGTGCAAAAAAGTGTTTTTTGGCGAGTGGGAGGTTTATATATAATCCCACGAGCTAAAAAACATTTTTTCATGAGTTACAAACAATATTTTTCATCACAATGTGGCGGAAATTGGACTTTTAGGCACGCGGAGCGTGCCGAAAAGTTCACTTTTCGTCACAGCGTGATGAAATAGTATATTATGTCATTAGGCGATAAAAGCATTATCTGCCGAATACGATTATAATCCGAGCCGAAGGCTCAGATTATAATGCCACATTCGCCAGATAATACTTTTATCGCCGTGTGACATACGATACTTTATATCATTGGGCCGGAAAACCGCGAGGCGAGGTTAGAATCGCGGTTTTTTCTGGCCTAATGACATGAAACCCATTTTCCTTTACTGTAAAACTCCTCCACATAGGTGAATCATTACGCAATATTGAGAAATTATTCAGTTCACTGGGAAATTTTTTGATAGGATAAAGGGCAAACTTTACAACTTCGGCAGAAATTCCCCTCACGTTTAGTAATTTTTTTGGAGCCAGCGGAGAAAAATTTCCTACCTATCTTGCACTTTTTTTCCCAATATAGGGTATAAACTACCTAAAAATAGATTTCGTTACACGATTACTTGACTTGTCTAGTAATTTTTCTCCACCTCCTTTCTTCGTGAAGGCTTTCATTCTTTAAAAGTATGTCGGGTGTTTGAGTCGATATATATATTTAATATTCTACAATTCATCTTGAACCGAAACAAAAAGTCGTGAAGGGGCGATTCCAGCCCGGCAAGGTAATTTCTCCCAGAATTGAATCCTATCCTTGAACAGATCTTTAGACATCGATAGATTCTTCGGACCTCCAATCAACAAATATTCGAGGTGCTCACTTGACACCGGTTCCCAACTGACATCCAGTAGGGGTCGTTTTTCGGGCTTGACAGGATTCCTAGAACATATTTCTTCGTGATTTTCTTGACCCAAACCAGAACCCCATTTTCAAGTTCTCTCTTCATAATTACCCGGTTTTGGCAAAATTGAACCACATTGTCGTAATAATTTCCACCATTTTCAACTCGTCATCTGTGAAACGAGCTATAGGGAATAAATGCTCGTGAACTGGGAAGAGGTACTGAATTTCGTCATGATGTGCTACTCCATAAGTAGACCTATAATCTCCGTAGAATTTCGTGTAGGAAACCTCACTTTTATGCGTCAAGTGGTAATGGTATATTGGAGCAGAAGCCATTTGAAAATGTTTCTGTATTGCCTTGTGGCTGGCGATGTTAAATAATGCATCAGAGTACATCTACAATACCATTAAGCAGTTAAAACCCAAATTGACTCTGCAATGATGACGTACAAAAACAATTCATAGAAAACGAATGTCACAGAAAAAATCAATAGATTTTAGAATTATTTTGCAGATTATTGGATATTTTCTGTCGAAATTTTTCCGCATAAATTTCCAATGGTTTTTTCACTGCATTTCCTTCCTTTTCTGAACAAAAACAGCAAAAGCTTGGAAAATTCCAGCCGAAGTCTTTCTATGGGAAATGTCTTCACAACATAAGTCTACAGCAAGTTTCAAATCTCTTGAACTTTTGAATTTTTTCAATAGATTTTCCGGAAAACTGATATAATTTTCAAAAAAAGTTCAATGTAACTCCAATAGACCGCCCTAATTCAAGTGCCCGGAGTTTCTATTGATTTTTTTTTCTATCATGATTATGAACTGAAAAAGAAAACTCACATTAGTGACAGCGAGTTTTGCAGCTTCATCGATCTTCTTATTTTTACCACCCAAATAAAATGATCGAATTAGCTTAGCGATTTTTCCATGCACAGGTTTCGGACAATTATTATCAAATCCCAGAGTTATAGGTGCATACTCAACGAACTTAGTGTCCAATTTTTCTACCAATCCAGATTTCGTCTGTCCATAAATGGCTGTAAAAATTCAAATAGCAATGCTGTAGTCACAATTATCGAATCTGAAAGAAAAACAAGAGTCTTCCAAGTTGATCCCTTACAGCCAACTCTGAAGATTCCTTCGTGCGAATTAGTTCCCACCATCCATGGTACATCAGATCTATTTTTTAGATTTTCCATTGCGAGAGGCTCTTCAGTTAGAAAAGCACCATCATGAGGAGGCTCGACAACTGGTCTGAACGGCATAATAGGATCCAAATCGAACACCTAAAATTTCAAACCAGAGGTAATTTTAAAAAATATGTTCAGGAATTCAAAATTTTCACCACTTTTGAAAATCTGATTTGTGCATAAAAAAATTATAGAAATACCGGCCATTCTAGCTCAACACCGGCCATTTTTTTAGCATCTATTTTCCGCAAGCATTGGAGCATCTTTTCTGAATCTCCAACAGGACACTTTAGATCTCGTGCGAATCTTCTGGTTGTTTTCATGGCCATTTTTTCGGTGTTAAATGCCCATGGATTTTTCACTGTTCCACTCTGCGAAATCGCACGATGGAAAAGGCCTATGAGGAGAGCAGACATGTTCATGAATTAGCTGACTGAGTGTGGATAAACGAAACATTTAAAAAATTGAATAGAAAACCCAGTTCAATGAAATATGGATTCTTAAATACCTATTATTATTTTTCAATTACTGAACACTATTACAGTTCTATTCCTTTCTTGTAGATTTATATTGAAAATTGAATAATTTTACGGTGGCATTTGTAATAGATATTGAATTTTCTCATACGAGTTACTCTATTTTAACATGAGAAAACGAAAAGATACAATCTAAATAAATCGCGAAATTTATACCCATGAGAATCTCAATAAAGTCAATATCTAGACAGATAAAAAGACTAAGAAAAATCTGAAAAAAATTATATAGAATAAAATTTCCTACGGAGTTTCAGTAGAACTCGAATATAATCCTAATAGAATTCCAAGGAAAGTTCACTAGTATGTCCTACCCAATGTGCAATAGTTGTTCATATTTTCATATATAGATGCTACACTATTTTAAAAACATTGAAATTTTATGAATAATTTAGTAGTAATTTGTAGGAGAGCAACATGGAATTCGATTTAGGGGAGAAAAATAAATTGCCCAATTTCATTAAAATTTTAATGAAATTCCAAATTCTCAAGAGTTGGAAAGATGCGAATTTCTCGACTTACCTGAATTTTTCATTGAAACATAAATATTTGCTACCAAATTACGCTAAGTTTTCAATTCTTTAAAGCTTAAATAATGTATTACGTGATTTTTCCTGATTTTTATAAATTTTTGTGGAATAACTATACTGAAATTTGCAGTCTTCATTGACTTTTCGATCAAATTGTGACTTTTCCTGATACGTAACTGGGAGACCCAGCATCGAATCGCGGCTCGACAGTGCGCGTTTTTTTTCTCTCTAAATTCTAATTCTCTTTGAATTTTTTTATTTATTAATTTTTTTAAATTGAAGATTTTTTTATTATAAAAACATCAGAATGATAAAAGGATTAGAATTTAGAGAGAAAAAAATCCCGCACCACGCAGCCGGGATTCGAACCCGGGTCTCCCAGTTACGCGCAGGACACTCCCAACTAAGGAACCGGGAACTACGGAAATTGTCTCTCAAAATTCGCTTCAAAACGCCGCTTAACCACCTATAGGCATTAAATATTTAAAGAGAATTAGAATTTAAAGTGACAGTATTCGTTGAAATTTCAGTAGAACTGTCACTTGATACCATATTTCAATAATTTTATATTATACTATATATTAGGTGTGTGACTTAATTTTTACAGATTTTTCAGTAAATTTATTTAATATAAAAAAATAGCGAACAACGAACTTAATCTTGGAAATATTGTCCATCGTTTTCTATGACCTTGCGCCATCTCTCAGATAACATTCGAATGCCGTCGCGAAAGAAACTTGCAGGCTTCGAGGCGATAAAGTCATCGACGAATTTACGCACATCGTCCAGCGTTTTAAACTGTTTATCCACTAAGGCGTGATGCATGGACCGGAACAAGTGATAGTCGGGTGGGGCCAAGTCTAGTGAATATGCCGCGTGTGGGAGAACTTCCCATCCCAAGTTTATGAGGGTCTTCTGAGTCGTGCGAGCAACATGAGGTCGAACATTGTCATGCAGCAGTATGACTTGCCTGCTTTCTTGTCCAGTAAATGGCTTTTTCCGATCAAATTCTTCGCTCAGTTTGTTTAGTTGTCGGCTATAGCGTTGCGCAGTCACGGTCTGACCTATTTCCAGGAGTTCGTAATAAAGCACACCCTTCATGTCCCACCAGATACACAAGACAATCTTCTTCTCAGAAGCATTTTTTCCTTGTTGGAATTCGTATAAAATGCAGTGCCGAATGTGCTGTTTATCAGTTTCCATCGTAAACTCTGCTATTCTGAAAGGTTATGTAACTTACATAGACTTGTCCTTCCGTATTCTGAAACCTTTTGTCCGATCCTTTCAAAACCAGAAAAGACCGCGAATATATTTCTATTTTAAATATAATTTTAAGCTCGAAGAAAAAATCTGTAAAAATTAAGTCACACACCTAATATATTTTACTACCTTTAGCCAGAGGACTGAGCATCAGATAATGAACACTAGCGGCTCCCACCCCATTTCCAAATATGGTAACACTCTTTGGGTCACCTCCAAATATCTCGATATTCTCTTGCAGCCATTTCAATGCATGGACTTGATCCTTCAAGCCCATATTACCCGGAATAACCGTATCTCCTGTGCTCAAGAAGCCGAAAGGTCCAATTCTGTTTTCCCATTTTAAAAGTAACAATTTTAATTAATTCTACTCGGTGCGGAAGTGTAATGGAATAGAATTGATATTCCACTATTTATTTTTGTACCTATAATTTAGTGTAATAAGAACTAAATCATGATTCAGAAGGAATTCTGGACCATAGTGCAAAGAGTGCCCGGATCCAGTAGACCATGAACCTCCGTGAAACCAAACCATCACTGGGTACTTCTGATTCGGTCCTTCAATTTCATAGTTCATTTTCGGGGTGTAGATGTTCAAATACAGACAATCCTCGTCTCCTATTATATAATCTTTGCGGAAGTACACGTTTTGGTGGATGCATTTCTTTCCATCGAATTTTGTGTAGCGAATTTGGGTCCAGGCTGGAGAGGGCTGCGGTGGCTGAAAATTGATTTTTGAACCCAATTTATCATTCAAAATCTACATTTAATTCTCCCTCGAAAATCCCCTGGTGGAAAAAACTCCTTAAATTCTATTAGAAGAAAAAAGGTTAATTGGAAATAATGACGTTATTGCCGTTGACCCATTATTTCCGATTCAGGTAAGTAGCGCAATGCTGACACGTATGGAAAAATCCAATAGGAAAAGCTAGCGAATTCTCTAGAAAATTCTATTGGGATTCTGGAGAAAATCTATCGGATTTCTATAGGATTTCTATTGGAATTCTATTGGAAAATTCTATTAGTTTTTTGCGCTGATTCTATTGCATATTTCATACGAAAAAGTCAATAGATTTTGAATTTCTTTCTCCAGAATCCCAATAGAATTTTCTAGCTAATTCGCTAGGTTTTCCTATTGGATTTTTCCATACGTGTCAGCATTGCGCTGCTAACCTGAATCGGAAATAATGGGTCAACGACAATAATGTCATTATTTCCAATTACCCTTTTTTCTTCCAATAGGATTTAAGGAATTTTTTTCACCAGGGTCCTTAGGGATCCATTGAAACATCTGAAAGAAAAATTGTTTACGTTCTCAAGAAGATTCTTAAGGTAATTTAAAAGGTTTAATTTTTCTCATCAAAAACCATGTTTTCAAAATCGTAATCGTATATGAATATATTCTGCAACTATATTCATATTTAGAATTTTACCGGAAATCAATCCCTTGCAAAAAAAAATTATGAGAGGTTTCCATTATTTATACAAAACCAAACGATTCGAGACAATCTGTGTATGAAATATCATCTCGAAATTTTTAAAGTTCTGCTTTATTTTGTTATCGAAAAGTGTAGGTAAAAGCAATTATCGTTACTATTATTAATATATTTAAATAATGGAAAAAAAGGCTGTCAGAATTAGGATGGAAAAAGATCTTTAGAAATGAATTGTTCAAGCTAACTTGGTGAGATAGCCCGCACGGTAAACAAATATATGGGACATATATATCAATTACATGCACATATATGTGCGGCAAAAAATGCAATGTCAGATATATACAATATATATGCGTCACATATATGTGCACGTATTGTATATTCAACATATATTTTATATACTGCATTTTTTTACCAAAAATATATTTAAAATAAATCGAACATATCTCCCATATATAATTGTTCGCATATATATTTTTTTCGTGAGGGAGATGGTTGACAGAACATGTTTTACCTATTTTTTAATACAGACTAATCAATTATTTCAAATCTATGACTAACCTCGAATCGCCAGGGACCAATGGGAGGAAGAGCATAAGGTATTCCTCTAAACGCGGCGAATTTTCTTCCACTGCTGGATTTAAGAGTCATACCCATTATAGTTCCATTTTTCAGATTCACGGTATGAGAGGTGGAAGTTGCATTGAAGCAGTGTAAGATCGACACCAAAATTGTCACGAAGATAGTTGATGCATACATGATTGAGACCAAACTGTTTGCGCTTTTGAACCAATATGACCATGGAGGTATTCTGTTGCGTGGTCGCACTGTGCGATAAACTCAACAGTTTACGGGGAGTAATTACAGCGATATGAAAACCCTCTCAAGATATAGAAACTAGGTGAATATGTTGGAAATCATTCTTCCTATATTTTACTACCTTGCGAATAAATCTATGATATTTACATAAAAATAAACTAACGATAACCTGATGCTTATCATCACGTACTATCTACAATGAACAATTAAATCCCTCTAAATATAGCGACTCTATTGTATGGCGACTCTCCTCTATGGAAATATATATGAGAATTGAAAACTTTTTGCATGAAATTGATTTAAAGATTTGAAGAGTAAGAAATTTTCCGTTACCCCTTAGGCTATGAATATAGTGTTTTCTATACGACTTTCTACGGAAAGTAGATCTACTCACAATTCTGTATGAGGGGGTAGTCTATTAGAATTCTGGATTCTTATACGATCCTTTATAGACCATTCTCCTATTGGGAGTCCCATTTTTGAACGGGATTTCATACAGGATACATCTGAATTCTCTATCCGATCGTTATAATATGCACCTCTAAACTGAGAATAAAAATGATTTTTATCACGCTGTGTGTAAAGTGAAGTTTTACGCACGCTCCGCGTGCGTCACACCCCACTCCCCACACATTGTGATGAAAAGTAGGGTTCGATACTCGCGGGAAAAGTGTTTTTAGACTCGTGGAATTATATCACTCGCATTCGGCTTGTGCTATAAACCTCCCACGATCCCAAAAACACTTTCCCGCAATCGTATCGAAATATACTATTATGCCATACAAATATACTCGAAATAAACATGCCCCAAATTTCTACTAAAGATCACCATTTAAATTGTTGTCTCAAATAACTCTTTTTATTTTTGGAGAAATATTCTTCTTTCTCTGTATTTCACTTTCCTATATACATAGCAAATTATCATTGTCTCATGTATTAATACATCAATGACTATAAGGTAGTTGTTGTCACAATACATTGAATACAGAACAATGCAATTAGTACGGTATTTACATCACATTTATAATTAGGAAGTACGATTAATGGATCCCATAATATCTTTTTTTTCTCTTATAACAAATGAGTATCAGCTTACGTCTATCCTATGGAAATATGTATGATGCATCATCAAACATTTCATCACTTATCGTTTATATAAAGATTCTTTCATCTTGACTTGAGGTAATCATTTAAAGAAAACCACATATCGTCATCATAACTATTCTAGATGAGATCTTTCGAAAGAATTGTAAAATAATAGACAATCAACATCATTAATACATAAGGGACTACGCTGGCCCACGTTTGGTTTCTGGTGCGAGTCCTGCGGGACACGGCAGGCTGTCCCAGAATTGGAAACTACCCTTATGTAGATTTTGGGCCATCCTCATACTCGTAGGGCTCTCAATAACTAGTTGATCGATAGAACCCGAATGCATAGGCTTCCAAAGGGCTGGGAAACCTCCATTGACCGGCGTCGGATTTCTGCAATAATACAATTTTCCAATTTTATATCATGAAGTAAATATTTGGGGCTTTATTTGATATTCAATAATTACCCAGTGCTTGCAAAGTTATACCACATTGTTGTCATAACGTCTATCATTGCATAATCTTCTTCAGAATATGGACTTGGAGCTTTGACTTCACGAATTGGAAAAAAGTATTGAAGATCATCAGCATGACAAACCCCATAGTCTCTAACGGGATCACCGAGTAGTTTAGACCATGACCAACTACTCTTGTATTGGAAATAGTAGTAATAGATCGGGCTTTTGAAGTACTTGATACTCTCCCTCACAGAAACACTATGGCCATATATGAAGTAAGCGTCTGAATCCATCTGAAACAGCAATGGCGAAAAACTCAATCAATCATGCCTGGACAATTCATTGACATCAAAATCAAAACATCCACACGTAATCAGACCAAGTTACTCACATCAATCAAATTAAATCTCGTAAGTTCGTTAATACGTTGTTTCCCAAAGTAGAACTGTCGTAGTTTAGCTGCTACGATCTGCTGCTGTTCCTGCGAACAACTTTCGTCAAATATCAGCATGTATGGAATGATTGCAGAAAATTGTTGATCGACGAAAGGCACAGCATTTGAATCATCAAGTCCAAAGAGAGCTGTAAGCAGATTTGATGTATTTAATGTATGAATTTTCAGTTAATTCGTTAATCTAGAGGTTTCTGCCAAAATTCTTGTATCTAATTCTCGTGTAATTCTTTGCGTAGATCTAATTTTTCATGGAGCTTTCAATGAAGTATTTTTACAGCATTTTCCAGCTATATCTTCATCCTTGAGCAGGACTTCTCCTTATAAATGAAAAACAGGTCGATTCTATCAAGATCCTACCAGAATTCTATGAGATATACTTTTGGTATTTGATTGTTTTCTACCGGAAATTTTCAAACTACCCCGTATCCTTATCCATATTGTTTCTTGCAGAAATTTTCGAACAATTTTCAATTTCATTGCAACATAAACGGAAAAAAATCAATTTTAAATTCAAATTTAGGTCCAGGTTTTCATAACGAATGAATTTCAACACAACTTTGAGAAAAAAAAACAAAATATATGGAAAATCAGCATTTTCACTGGTTTTCTAAGTGAAAACGCCGGTTTTTGTCAGCCCAGACACGCCCACCAATGGGATTTGGGGAAAACAGTGTTTCCGTTTTTTCGCTTTGGCACTCATTGATTCGGGTTGAATTAGGACCAAATTCATCAAAATTTCTGCAATTTTTCTACCACAACTATTGTCATCATGAGACATACGTGCTACAGCCAGAGAACCCTCGTTGGCATTGATCCCATTCAGCCAAGGAATATCGGCCGCTCGACCGCCCCTCAAAGTTTCAATAGGATCCTCTACCAAAAATGCCCCTTGATGATATGGTTCCACCACAGGTTTGAAGTGTGGTTGCAGGAGGGACTCTGCTAACAGCCATCTTTGAGAAACGTTGATGATGGCCTCAGCATCCTTCGTCCGAAGGCAGCTCACCACCTCCCTTGTATCGCCGCTTTTACAATCAAGTTCGGCAGCAAGCTTGAAAGCTCGTTCCTTCGCAGTTTTCTGTGTATACATTGCCCAAGGGCTGAGACTAGTTCCACTTTGAGAAATAGCCCGATGGAATAATCCTACAAATCACATTCAGTATCTTCACTCCGTTCGATTTATAAGTCGTCAGATGATGTAAGTAATGAGATAATGTAATACCTCGCGTGAGCGGACTCATAATGAGATGATGCACGCTAACTGCACCAGCACTTTCACCGAAAATTGTTACGTTATCTGGGTCGCCTCCGAAGACTGCAATATTCTCTTGCACCCATCTCAACGACTGTACTTGATCCTTCAAGCCTTGATTACCATAAGCGGTGCTGTCCACAGTACTAAGGAAACCGAAAGCCTCCACCCTGAGAAATATCAGAAGACACTGAGCAAAAACGACGAAACAATAGGAAATGATAATAGCATTGAACTTTCCTTGGGGAAAACACTCATACTTGAATTTGTTCAGGTTCTTATCATTGCGATCAAAATTAGTGCTATATCCCAACATAACAGGTTGACTAGTTCTCGAGATATTGGAAAAATACGACTTTTGTCCAAGTGAATATCAGTATAAATTTGTGTTTAAATGGTAGCAATTGGGAACAAAAAATACCGGTTGATTACAATCTCTATTTTTAAGAGAAAGTTCTGAACACATAGACACAGATGAGAAAGTACGGGGTAAAACGGGTTTTTTAAAATGAACAATATCTTCTTACCAAACGGCATTATTTTGATGAATCAAGTGTCATTTTAAACTTTGAGTGAAATCTTGAAAATTATGAAGAAATTCAGTAATTTGAGTCTAAGACCCATTTATTGACGACCAAAAACATTTCATTTTACCCCATTCTTTCCAGTACATAAACACACAGGATTTTTTGACAAACCATTTCTTCATGGTTTGTCACAATTGCAGTAATTTCCCCCAAAATTAGAGAATGCAAAAAAACACGCTCTTGGATCTGACAATTCTTGCAACAATTTGTTTCTTGAATGATGCATCGAAAATCAGAAGTTTGAAAAAGATTGGTAGATGTGTAAAACAAAAATCAATAATTTGCAAAATACCTGATTCGAGTCGCTTACAATCAATGATGAAGATGATAACAATCGCGTGAATAATGAAGTTTTTCCGCTTAGTGCATGATATAAAGTACTGATTTGCAAAATAATTTAATTAAAGCTCACCTATAATTCATTGTCACCAAAACAATATCATGATCAAGAAGAAACTTGGGACTGTAGAGCCTAGAGTGACTCGTACCGGAGTAGAATCCACCACCGTGAATCCAAACCATCACTGGGTACTTCTTCGGTAAATTTTTAAGATGGTGTTTTTTTACTGTATAAACGTTCAGATAGAGACAGTCTTCAGTCATCCTATAATTGCCATCCACGTTGAATATTTCATTTTTCGCTTGAAAGCAGACGGGAACGTCTTCACTGGCGGATCGCACTCCGCTCCATGCTCGCGCTGGTTGAGGTGGCTAAAAAAATCATTTGATTAATGAATGTGATCATCTTCACCTTGATAAACTGAATTAAGAAATTCAAGGAATGATAAAGAGGAATCACAAGGACGTAGATTCAATCGCCAAAGGATACGTTGCACTGAATTATTCTTTTGATTATATTTTGAAATTAATTGAGGATTGCTGATCTGCGATTTCGATTTTACCTCAAATCTCAGGTTTCCTATAGGTGGAAGGGCGTATGGAATATTCTTGAAGGCTGCAATCTCTCGCCCCTTTCTGGTTTGCATGGTTGTACCCTCCAGCGTTCCATTTCGAATAGTGACAAGAAGAGGGGCTCCTGTGATGATATTTACCCACGTCGCTACAAGGAAATTCACTATCAGACCTACGGTATTCATGATTGACTTCTATTCGGGCGAGGTATATGCTCACGACTGTATCACCAAATAAAACTGCTTGGAGTGGTCATGCACACATGGGCATTATATAGGTATAGCCGGGGGGAGGGAGGTGAATCGCCACTCATTCCCGAATTGGAAGGAAGAAAATCTCTTGTACTGGTTTCTTCTTTCCCCGCTATTGACGATGAGGACTCTGCTTTTAGATCTCATGTAAATACATTGCAATTAAGATGATACGATATCACTGAATAAAATTACGATCTGAGATTAGGAATGTGGATGTTACGATCACGTGGAGGAAGTTGATAATCTGGAGCTATAAAATAGACACACATTTTTGCCGCTATTTCGAGTTTTGCGGAAAAATTACTCACGCTCATTGGTGGACGAGCACTTGTCGGGTTCATCGAACTTTCTATGATGTTGGGATTTATGCACCGGGTATTTGCTTCCACTTTATGGGTTTAATCAATGTCGCATTATCGAAATTTGGCGTGGATTATCAAATGATCACACAGAGTATATCGAAGTATGAAGTCTTGAAAAATTACTCCTATGAAAATTCAAGTAAAAATTTATGAAATAACGATCGATTCTTATAGTATCTTCATGTATGAGGTTTATGTCAAATTAATGAATTTCTGGAATATTCAACGGATCTGCAATTTTCCGATTCATATGACATTAAAAATGATTGAACATTTAAAATAAAAGTTTCGGATTCGATGATCACTTAATACGCAAAATTCTTTTTTTTTATTCCACGATGAATCAGAAATCCTATCAACGATCAGATCTCAAATTAAGTTCAAATAAGCAACTTTGAAAATTTAAATGCAGTTGTCACTTGGATTTCAAAATACTTCTAATATTTCATGCTAATATTCATTCAAAATACTTCTTCATGAATACGTGCGGTGATTGATGAATTAATTTTATTGCAGCTAATAAAATACAAATATTTCAGTTGAAAGCTCCTCGAGGATTGTATTGCCGCTTCGCCAATCCGCTCTTTCAGTTCCGTACATTTGGAAAAATCCAATAAACGATTGTGATGGTTTCGCTAAGAGATTGTGCTGGAATTCTAATAAAAAAAAATTTATTGGTTTCTACCGATAGCTATTAGAAATTTTGCCGCTTTTCAAAACATTCCACCTATACGAAGGGAAAAAGTATTCAAGTATCACCCGCATTTTAGTGATCATTCAGCATATAAGTATTTCGTGGCTTTTTAATAGAACTCAAATAAAAAATTTAAAAGTCTAGCAGCAACTAGACTGCACATGGCTTTAAAATTTTTATTCAGAAAATGAGGTTTCACTAGAATGCTGTTATTTTTTGTAACACAGAAATGGAAATAGTTTTTGTTTTCATAAAACTATCACTCATTTGTAGTTATACTTGTTACTCCGTCGCAAATTAATTTAAATAGGGGACTCTTTCTCAGATATTTCGGGGGTCATTTTTAAACGATTTTCCTCTCCATGAAGTAGAAAAATAGTTACTTTTAAAAACTCAATAGATTTTAATTTTTTCATAGGATTTTTCGACAAGACATGTTTTCTATTTTTGTTCTTCTGTTTTCATTATCGTCTTCCGCGGCTAATCCTCAGCTATTACTAGTACCAAATTTCCGATTTAAGAAAATTTAATAATTTGAGATCCCAATCGTTTTCCCTTTAAATATTAAAAACTCTTGAAATATTAATAACGAGATATTATTATTAATATTATCGAACGCATTATTTTGTTTTTGAGACACGGTGAATGGACCATCTACACAGGGTGACGTAAGCATCTGGCTTACACATTTCAAGAGGATACCGAATAGAAAATCAGGAATTTAATGGTACCAAAATTATTGAATGCCTATCCTGTAATAGACTTTCAAATGGTGAATGTTGGAATTGTTCAAAATTTCAGCCAATCATGTTGTGATTCACTGCCGCCATGATTGAAAAGGGTAACACAGCTGTAAATGGGACTTGATATCATACACTGATAGATAAGGTGGAACGATTTAGTTGCTGCTTACGAGGCTTCTCAATCATTACCACGATTCATTAACGATTAACCATGATTCGTTAACGATTAACGAATCATGGTAATAATTAAGAACCCTCGTTAACAGGAAGTAACTTCTTGTATCTAAATCTAGCCACTTCATACCGGTATCTAATAACGCTTAATGTTGATAAAATTATCGATTTAATTGTTGCAGTGAACATTGCTCAAATCATTGCATATAATGTTGCTCCAACCATCGCGCATAATATCACTAAAATCATCGCCACACATGTAGCCAGAATTGTCACGACATTGGGAATTTCAATCATGGAGGTATGACGACAGACCACCATGATGTTATTGGTAAAATCATTAAAAAATTCTAACGGTCAGATTCAGAAGTCGATCATCGTAATTTCATAATTCTTGTGTCATTGAATTACTTATTTTTCATTGAGCATCTCCAGACAATCTATAAACAAGGTACTGACGTCACTGTTGTACACGCATATCACACTCACGTCTTTACCCTATCATCTAAGGTTACGCACGTGTCGTGCCTCTGGGCCCTACCTAGATAGAAGTAGAATTGGACAACTGATCATCAATACCGAAAATAAAAGTTGAAGCAATTCGGACTAATGAGTTAATAGTCAAGCTTATCGATCTTCAGAATATAACTTATAGTGATGACCATAAATCATTGACCTTCCGCCATTGTCTGATTTTTGTATATCCTTCAATTCTCCAAGTAGATAATCGAACATGTAGTTTGCTAAAATATGGAAATGCTTTCATATCAGAATTTGATAAATGGATCGAGTATATCGGCATACCGGTGTTGTCAGCATTACCTACGTCAATGGGGATTATTGGGACTAATCAGGTGTCCCCATTTGCTTCAGGTATGTCCAGGAAGTTTGATAGAAGGCATACTCATTTTTATTATCACCTTTCGAGTGTCTTTTCCTTACGTTTGACATTGGAAAGTTCGTGGATATTTAGTTGCAATTGGAGGCATTGCTGATTGAGATGTTCCCTTTGACGTCAATGCGAGATTTGTATGTTTTTGTTTATTAATGATAATTTCCCTGGCCAGCCTCAAGACATTCTCCTCCGCGGTTCATATTCAAGTGGGGAAAAAAACCGGTTCATCCTTCTCTTCGATGTTTTCCATTCAAATGGAACTCTCCATTTTCTAGTTCATATCCTACGATAACGAAAATGAGTTTTTTTGGGTGGAACCGCGTTATCGAGCTAAACCTCATCAACGCTACAGTTTTCAATTGCATCTAAAGATCACAAGTACAAATTTTTCTACTATTCACTTGGCAATTTTTCATGCGCATCCTTGATTGAGATTTCAGGTTTTCATAGCCAACATTATCTATGTGATCTAGTTTCAGCTTCCCGCCAATATTTTAGTATGATGACTATGCTATACCAATACTGAAGCTTCTCATCGTTAAAAATTTCTTCCATTCTAGATCTTTGATATCGATCTTTTAATCAATAGATTGATTCACAAAACCTTTCTACATGGACAATCAACATCTACTCTAATTCACCCCAGAATTTCAGTTATGGTACAACGTATAGGCCTTGAAGGATTTTTCAACAAAATTATGAAACCGTATTGTTTTCAATAACTTAGAAGTATTGTTGAGAGAATATTTTTGGTTTCAGAAAAATTATATAGCCCATAGTTTCCATTTAACTTCATTCATCACAGTAAATATATAGTGTCACATGGATTTTCAGCTAAATGTAACGCTGATTCCATAACCGGTACCGGTGCCATAACCGGATCACTGACGATATTGCAATTGAAAATCTCGAAAAAATATTATAGTCTTTAATAGGATTATGGCATTTTCCACTAGGGTTTTGGTCGAAATTCATGAAAGACCAAATGATAGCTAAAATTCGGGGGTGATTGTAAACAGATTATTCTCTGGTAAGTTCTCACTCTTGATATCATATGGAGATATTGCAAACTTATATCTGTTTTCGTTTTTGTCTTGAACGTTGAAGATGAGCTATTTACAGTTACGGCGAATGATTCTTTTGTCGTAATTGAGAAGAATCATCGATCAATCAATCAATCAAAAAACCCAATCAAGAGTTGACGATTCATTCATCTTCTGAAGTTTATATTCCGGCAGATGAAGCACCTGAAATCATCTCAATTACTCTCCTACATGTATTGCTATAATAACACAAGAAACAAGAGATACTGATACTGATAGCATAATAGTCATTTTCGTCACTGAGGCCCGATAATGGCGCTATATGGGCCTGTTTTGAGGGCGATAAATACCAAATAGCAGCTCTGGGCGGCCGAGGCATGTTAAATAGCGGAACAAGCATGCTAAATCACATTTAGCAGCCCTAGGGCCGATAAATTGCTACTTGAAATGTGCCGATATAGTTGTCGCTCACCGGATTGTATAGTCTAGTAAGGCGTACAGCACCGCTGTTGGTCTTGTCGCTAATCAAACTATCGGTCACAGTCGTGTGGAGATAATCAGACGCCATTTCGGGGAGTTTGTTGTGTTTGATTGAGAAAATTATGTTTGAGGAGAATATTCAATCAAAATTTGTGAAAAAAAAGAGGAAAAATGGCAGATTGGGTACCAGATAGTGACGAGGAAGTGAATTCACCTGATATTTTCGCTGATACAAGTGATGATGAATTGATATCGAGTGTAACAGCACATGTTCACGAGGCATTTTTGCAACAAGAGTAAATGTGAATAATCAAAACTATGAGAAAATTAATTTTAATCAATTGATGTTTTAATTTTTTATGGATTCCCTTTCCATCATTTTCCGTTTTATAAATTTCCAATTTTTTTTTCCCTTTCAATATTTGGTTTCTGACAGTGTGGGGGGGCTTCGCCCTCCTGGACCCCACCCCGCCACCTTACCTTTTCGGGCCTTCGTGACGAAAAATACTATGTGTCATTCGGGCGATAGCGTTGGTTTTCGAATTGTGTGAGTTTGCAGCATGAGGCGTAGTATAGTCGGAGACGAGGGCCGCCTTCGCCGGAGGCCCTCGTCTCCGACTATACTACGTCTCATGCTGCAAACTTCACACTCATCGAAAACCGCCGCTTATCGCCCTAATGACACAATGTACTATTTGTCCCCTCTCGATGAGTCTCGAGAAAAAATGTATTATTATGGAAATTGCAGTACGGGATATCATTGAAACTTATGTATTTTAAATCATATATAAACACAAATATTTTCGATAAGTTCATTATCTCAAATTTTGTCATGCCCTTCGATATTCATCCTTGACACGTGTTCCATCATCAAACTTAAAATCACTTTCATTACCACAGATTTTCACGCGTTCCCCGAAACGACCTTCCATCACTGTACGACACGTGTAGAAATTGATACCGGAATTTGAATTGGGTTACCTCTTTGAATAGATTGAGTATGGAAAAACGATAGGTTGAGAAAGGCAGCATCATATGATAAGACCCTCTCTTTTCTCGTTTTCACCGTGGGGGCAGACAGCTTCTTTTTCTTGGAATGAGGGAAACCTATCTGGCAAGAAGGATTCGTCCACAGATTTAAGTAAATTATAATACGACGAGTTGCAATTGTTTTCTATGCACGAAGGTTCAATGTTATTTAATGCTTTTAAAAATTCTGGGTAACAAAGAATAATTTTCATCACATTTTCATTCTGACAGTCACATTTTGTTACATGATTTTACCTATTTCTCCGACACAAATTTCACTAGACATTTTTCTCCGTGTAATTTATCACCCACCGGCTAGCTGACATATTTTGATAATTTGTGATTCGATTATTTTCCGTTTATCCAAGTGTCATGTAGTTCACGCAATAGTCATTAGATCTATCAAGACTCACGTGCGTGCATTATGAATTCCATTTCTGTCCTTCGAAAATTGAAGAACAAATAGGTTTCGATATAAACAAGTGGGAAACTGGTCTTGTGTTGATTTGAGATGGTTATTTTTGTTAATAAATTAGAATATAATTCCGAATGTTCATTTTGCATTTGCATTTTCAATTAATTGTTTATTTTGTGTCATTAATCTAAATGAGATTTATTTTTAAACAATTGTGTCAGATTGTCACCTTAGGTGAATTTTATCATCATCATTATTCTCAATATCTCTTTCTGCCATACAAATGATTGTCTTTATTGCGGTCCTATCACTCCCCTTACTTCTTAGTTGCTTCACGATTTTACATTCTCGTCCTACCTACGTGGCATTTACTTCAGGAACTATATTTCCTATTTACGTTTTGGTTTTTATATTTTCGTTCAACAGTTTTCTACTTATTGAAATTGGCTGTTTTATCGGCTCCACGTTCCACAGGTTTGTCGTCTACTTGAGCCATGTTTAGATCGATGTTGTCGATTATTATTCATATATGATGAAAATTTCGAAATTTGCAGAAATCATAAAAATAAAATCAACAGATATAGCTATGGTAATTATCGTTTAACTTCGACAGTGTTGCACTGAAACTAAGATTTTAAGCTATAATTGAATTCATTTGAAGCATGATATCCGCAGATATCACCGGAATTCTAATTTTAAAAAAATTTCATCTTTACGTAAATCAAAACAATGATTACTGCTATCGGCTTCATCTTCGAAATCGATCAAAAGGGCATCCAAACAAATTTGTTAAGCCATCGTTTAATGAATTCAGTACATTTTTTTTATCGTGGGCCAACCGAATTTTGAAAAGATTCAAAATTTTTTTTAAATTATCAAATAGATGAAATTTGAATTAATGTCGATGGGTGGGACTCAACAGTACCTACCTTTTAGAAAAAGAAATGATTTAATTACATCGATTAGGGAACAATTGAAGAAAACCTTTATCACACACAGACGTACGAAAACGGTCTAAAAGTTGCATTTTCGAACTTTTTGAATCATGATGAATCATGATATAACCCACATAATCCGAAACTTAAATTTGAACGATTGAAAAGCTTTCATTAGGAACCAATAAATACAAGATTCAATATAAGTCGTGAATCAGAGGCTTTATTATTACGATGAAGTTGTTTGGAGATCCCAGATATACGGGGATTGTATCATTGTTACTTGACATGCTTCAGAAAAACCTTTATTCATTGTCGAATCGTCATCACCTTTTTTCTGTTTCCATTTTTTTTTTAGTAAATAAATTCCTTCGTCTGAAGAATTTCTTCGGCTTCATGCATTTGAAACCGTCGATACTTGCATTGTACTTCATGATGCTTCCATACTTTTCAAATTGTTTTTGTATTTTTTTTAACCCTCTTCCCTGACTAAGCTTTTTCTCACCGTCTCCAGGTAGCGTGCGATTCGACTGTCCCCACTCCCGCGCCGAGAAAATAAGTAGAAACAATAATCAGATTAGAGCGGTAACTGTTCGCTGCCCGGAATGAGCCAATATTTTCAAATAGGTTACAAATTACTTCCTGTTTACGTTTTTTATCCAACCATTTGGTATCTTCATAACAACGAAGAATTTAGAGCAAAAACACTGAGTACATCGTAATTTCTTTCTAATGGTCTTGGAGTTATATCGAGTGATTAATGAGTTTTCTATGAATAACAAAGAAACAAATTTTGATTGTCCCAATGGTCCCTTCATAAATGTGCTTCACATTCCGTACAAAATACATTTCATATTCTCATCATTTTCACACATGAAATTAAAAAAAAATGTGCTTATACTGGATCGAGGTTTTCCACATCATTATTCTAAGCACTGAGCGAACTGCTTGAACGAGACAAACCAGCACGGCAGGGGAAATTCAACCACAGACTGAGCATATCTCTGAACATATCTTTAGCCATCTCGAACCTCGTGGGACTCCTAATGACGAAGTTCTCAAGTGAATTGGTTCTGACGGGCTCCCATATCACGGGGAGCTGTGACGTACGCATTGGTACCGGTTTCCTAAGAAAAAAGATGATGTTTTATCAATCGAAATTGAATTATTCAGTAATTGATGTTTTTGGATTTTTTCATGGTGATAAATTGATGTAAAGGAATCAGGGAATCTGGAGAAATAGACCCAAAAGAAACACGCTTCATTTAGAGACTTATGATCTGAAATTGAAACGTGAAAGTCTCAAATTGAGATTTTCAAATGTTTCAAATTGAGAATTTCAAAAGTCTCAAGGTGAAACTTTCAAAAGTCTCAAGACGATCCTTTCAAATATTTTAAGTTCCATTCCCTTCCACAATGGCCATTTCCTTTAGAATATATAAAGCTAAGTGTCAAGCAAAAATTTCGAGTTGAGACTTTCAAAAATCTCAACTTAAGTCTTTCAAACCTCCCCTTAAAGAACAATTTCAGTCTTCCGAAAGTCTTAACTTGAGTCTATAAAAATCTCCCCTTGACATCTTCGAAAATCTTAAATTAAAACCTTCCAAAGTCTCTCATTGAGAATTTAGAAAGTCTCAACTTATGAATTTCAAGCTTCAAATTAAGCCGTTGAAAATGTCACTTTACAACCTTTGAAATTTCAAAATAAAGTATTATTTTTTCTAGGTGCAACAACAGCATTAATCGAATGCCCAAAAGAAACGACATCGCTGTTATCGCTGTTACTCCAACTCCCCTGATTCCTCCACATCAATCCCATAATTATTTTCGTCTCACCTAAATCTTGCAAAGTTAGTCCATAAAGTCGTCATAGCATCAACCATCTGAAAGTCCCTCACACTCATGGTGCTATTGGGAAAAAGTATTCGATTCATTGGGAATAGATACATAAGGTCTTCAGCATGACCGACGCCGAAGTCATTTTCAGGATTACCGCGAATGAGAGGATTTTTCATATCTCCACTATATGCAAAATAGTAATAATAAATAGGACTTCTTTTACGGAGATGTTCTTTCACTGAAGTGGCGCTACCGACATTGAATAATGCATCGGAACTCATCTGAAAAATACCCAAGAGATGAACTCAAATTGCTGTCAACGGGAAAGAAACACAAAAGAAGACTGCATACATTAACTAAATTCATCCGAGTTGAGTTATCGATTTTCCTGTCACCGAAGTAATATCTACGGATTCGATGAGAAATTTCAATTTTAGACGCATTAGAACAATCAGTGCTGAACCCAAAGAGCACTGGAATGATTTCTTGAAAACGATCATTCAAGATGGTAGGATTCAGAATACCAGTTTTCCCATAAACAACTGCAATAAGAAAGAAGATAATGACATTTGAATTCATATGGATGAATTTGTAATACTCACACTCTCCAATCATTGCTCCTTCAGCAGAAGTAATGCCGGTCAACCAAGGGACGCTTCTAAAGTTGCGAAGTTTTAGTAGTTCGCTTGGGCCGTTTGTTAGAAAAGCACCAGTATGTGGTGGCTCCATAACCGGGCGGAATGCAATTAATATATGTGCAGGAAACTAAAAACAGGGACATTTGATCATTCTTGAAGTGACAATTTTGAGGACAAATGAACCTGCACGAAGAAATAACACCAGAACGATTATCGTGCTAGCAAATCCCTACACTGTTGGCAATTTTTTGAAATTTCAGTCACATCAGCTGAATTTTCGATGTTGTGAGGTTGAATTCAATTTCAAATTAAAGCGTTCATTAAATTTCTCATTCATCTTGAAAATTCAAGAAAATTGGGTTTTTCATATGTTAAACAATCATTGATTTTTCAACGAAAGCTTAAATTTTCAAACTCATTGCGAAAATTGAATATAACATACAATTCAATTTTCAACAGAGGGAGAATTCAGAAAAGTTATTGTCTAAATTTGCAAAATTTTTAAGGTTTTTCAGTACCGATGGGACTTGAAAATCGAGAATTACTTTAATATTCAAGAAATTAACTTAGTCAATGGAGAAATATGCAGAGAATTCATGTAACTCTGTCGTTGTCAAAAATTGCAAGCTTTTTCACTTGAAATTTCAAAAGTAATTTTCTAACAGTGTAAACTGGGTTCAAATAGCTCTGTCGGCGGAAATTTATCGCGATGTGGAAGACAAATTTATGTTCTTTCAGGATATTTTCCTTTAAAATAAGTAATTTTCAACGAACATCTCAATAACATTCCCCGTGTAACACGATTGATTACGTTCCGGAATTTTTGCTGTGCGGCCCCGTCGAAAGACTCGTAATAAAAAAAAATCCTCTTAATATTTCAGCTCTTTGTCTCAATCCTAAAACGCTTTTTTTCCCATGAAAATAACATGGGAATAACACGTTTCCCATAAGAACGACCCATTTTTTTCCATAAGAATAATTGCATTATTGTACGATGTGAATGAAAAACGAAAAATTTCCGTGAAAAGTAGAACCTTTCAGTAGAATCTTTTCCGTCACTTCAAGAGTGGGAAACGCGGATACAAGTGGGGATCACGTGGAGAGGGATACCCACCGAAGGATAAACGTATACTGGAAGATCTATATTCTTATGGAAAAAAACAAGGCTCTTGGGGGCGCTTTAGAATTGAGATAGAGTCTTCAGTCTTTGACCACTGAGCTATCGAGACATCCAAGAGCAACTGTCCGGACTGCAGAAGGTCGTGGTTTCGAATCCCACTCGATCGATCCGATGAGCCCTCAATTTTTTTAATTTGTGCATAGACTAATTAAAACATTGTCGAGCTGTGAATCTCGTCTCCTGAATCACTGGGAGTGAGTGGATAACGAATCGCATCCCTCTCTCAGTTTAAAGTTCGCATTTGATGGGATTCAAATAGCAGCACGAATAATGTACTTTGAACATTTGAGAAATCACGAATGACCGCAAAAGTCGAATAAATTCATCATATCTATATATACTACGGTCGATAAAATCATGAAATTGTAATTATATACAATATTGAACAATCATTCACGTTCACTGGGATAATTTTTGATAGAATGCAGGATAAATTTTACAATTTCGGTACAAATTACCCTCACGTTTAGTAAATTATGTCCGGCGAATGGAAAAAATTGGCTATTCGTCTCGCACTTTTTCCCCGACATAAGATGAAAAAGTACTGAAAATCGAGTTGGCTCCACTATTACTTGACTTGTTCGGTAATTTTTCTCTAACTTTTTTTCCCTGCACTTCAGTACACGATACGGTGGTTATTGCCTACTTTTGTAGCGTAAAATTTCCGTGTTTTTTTCAACGTGTATCAATTTTTCATAATTACCGGCCATGTTCCAGACATTGCAGTGATTTCCCTAGGATCTCTTATTTGTAGACATTGAAGAAGTCTTTCAGAGGTGTCTGTTGGACAACTGAGGTTCCTGGCAAGACGATGAGCATTTTCTCTTGCAATTTTAATCGTATTGAACGCGCTAGGATTGAGAGCTGTGCCACTCTGAGAAATCGCTTGATGAAAGAGTCCTGAATTTTCAATTGATGCTTGCAATTAATGACGAAAAAATTAACATGTTAGCATCATCATTCCTTTCTCACCTTTAGCCTGTCGACTCAACATCAGATAATGTACACCCGTAGCTCCCGCACTTTCACCCATTATTGTTACTTTCTTCGGATCACCGCCAAATGCTGCAATGTTTCTTCGGACCCAATGAAGGGCTTGCACATGATCCTTCAAACCATAATTTCCTGGAATAATTCTGTCTGCTGTGCTCAGAAAACCAAGGGGTCCCAATCTGTTGAGTTATTTAATTAATTTTTGTATTATGCATTTATTCATTAATTATGCACCTGTAGTTCATGGTGACCAAGACAATATCATGATCGAGGAGGTATTCTGGGCCATACAGAGATGAGTTGCCTCCCGTCCAACTTCCACCATGAAACCAAACCATGACAGCATAACGTTGAGAAGCATTTCTTCCCGCGGGGTTCGGCAAATTGGGAGTGTAAACATTTATGTATAGACAGTCCTCTGAACCTGCAGTGGTCATATCTGAGGAGATATCAATTTTCTGCAGACACTGTGCTCTCTCCGTTGTCGCTAAACGAACTCCTCTCCAGGAAGTAGCAGGTTGAGGCGGCTGAAATCAATTGGAACCAAAAATTAATTTCCCACTTAATTCATTGAATTCACAATTCTACACGGCGAGAAAAGTTGGATAAAAATTAACGCGAAAATCGTGACAAATATTACTATACGAATGGTAATCGTAATGGTAATCGTAAATTTTACAGTTTCGGTATAAGTTACCCTCACATTTAATAAATTTTCCCGGTACAACGAAATAAAACTCACTATTAACCTCGCACTTTTTCTCCTATTATAGGGGAAACGGAACCCCTGCACGGAGAGAAATATTCAATAAAAATTACGTATCTTTTCCGTAATTCTGGAGCGAAATGTGGTTGTAGGAAATTTTACCCAACTATTACGAAAATTTTCCAGAGCGTTCCGTAATTTTTATCTGAATCTCCTGCGAAAAATTACGATACCGTCACTTACATTTTCTGAGTCGATTCCGTAATCGGTAAGCGAATTATGAGTTCCGTAATTTTTATCTGAATCTCCTGCGAAAAATTACGATACCGTCACTTACATTTTCTGAGTCGATTCCGTAATCGGTAAGCGAATTATGAGTTCCGTCATTTTTACTGAATATTTCTCTCCGTGTGTATATATGGGACATTCCACGTCAATTCGGCCGGTTTAAACCCTGACCATCTCAGATTCGTTTCATTTTTTTTTTTTCATGCGACTCGATGAAAAATCCACCCTGATTTTCTTTCAGATTTGTTTTATCAATTCTTTAATTTGTTATCAATTTTTCAAGTAGATTAACGAAAGCCCCATTTTAAAAATCTGAAAAAATTCACAAAAATTTTATGCTACCAAAGAGTTGTTTTCAAGCTATTTTTTAGAGTGGAAATAGAAATAGTACGCCCTACGCTAACCCTATTTCTGTATGCGCTGAGAAAAAAATTACATTTTATCTATGGAAGTTAGGTTAACGGAAGTGCTGAATCCGAATCCGACGTCGATGTGTGCAAGTTGTGGTCAGGTCTATTTATTTATAACATTTTTATTGTTTAATCGATCATATCATGGAAACGGTTGCAGATAGAGAAAAAAATTTCAAACAAAAGATGTTTGTTATGTAAAAATACACATTTTTTATCGTATAACTTTTTCTCTTAACTGCGATAAATAAAGAGTTATCATGGCTGGGAGGGAAATGGACAGCACATTAACACTTGCGTGGATGTTGGGGCGCGTCGATGTGTTTATTGGCAAACTCGATCGAGATAGAGGAGAATTGAATTCCGCAGCATAAAATTCATATATTTTTCCACGTATACAAATTTTTTGTCATTGAGCACAGTGAATACCGCAAATCTATTTCCATAGACTTATCAATCTTAGTTTCTTGAAGAACAGATTTGAACTTCAGCTCTTAATCATTAAAATCGCAGAAGATGGAGAAAAAATTCCATGGAGGTTCGCCGAAATCTACATTTTAGGGCTTATGTCGACTTGATTATTGACTTCTCTCGATGTTCATCAACTATTCAATTCCATTCTGGGCGATTCCACGTAAAACCGAGAGTCGAAAAAAATCGATGACACCGATTTTATTCAGTGAGAATCAAAGGCGATAAGAATTTTTTTTACAAGCGAAAACAACGAAAATTTAAAAAAAATCATAAGTCGTTCAAAAAATTTTATCTTGGACTAAAATTTCAACTGAAGCCTTATCTCATGATATAGAATTGAGAAAAAAATCATGAACAAAATCGGAATTCAATTTATAGAAATAACTAGTATTTGCCAGAAAAATTATAATCTGACAATAGCGAGTATTTTTTTGAATCAATGCAGTTATTACACGATTAATTTCCATATTCACTCTAAAATATGCCGTAAAATACTTTGTTGGTAATATCAAATTTTTGTAATTAAAAAAAAAAAAAATTCCAATTTCCCAGTAGGGGCCTCTGTCAATCAACTTAGAAAATTGATGAAAAAATAACGGATCAAATGGCAAATCATCAATTATATGTCAAATTCAATGGTGAACATTTTTCCTTTGAACCATTCTCCTCTATCTCGATCGAGTTTGCCAATAAACGCACCGGAGCTCCCCAACATCCGCGCAAGTGTGAACGTGCTGCCCACTTCCCTCCCATCTATGATAACTCTTTATCTATCGCAGTTAGAAGAAAAAATTATAGAATAAAAAATGTGTATTTTTAGAGAACAAACATCTTTTGTTTGAAAGTTTTTTCTCTACCTGCAACCGTTTCCATGATATGATCGATTAAACAATTAAAATGTTATAAATAAATAGACCTGACCACAACTTGTAAAAATCAACGTCAGATTCGGATTCAGCACTTCCGTTAACGTAAATTCCATAGATAAAATGTAATTTGTTTCCTAGCGCATACAGAAATAGGGTTAGCGTAGGGCGTAGTATTTCTATTTCCACTCTAAAAAATAGCTTGAAATAACTTTTTGGTAGCATAAAATTTTGGTGAATTTTTCAGATTTTTAAAATGGGGCTTTCGATAATCTACTTCAAAAATTGATAAAAAATTAAAGAATTGATAAAAAAAATCTGAAAAAAATCAGGGTGGATTTTTCATCGAGTAGAATCATGAAAAAAAAAATGAAACGAATCTGAGATGGTCAGGTTTTAAACCGGTCGAATTGACATGGAATGCCCCATATATAAACTTTTGGAATTGGGTTTTTGCTTACAATTAGTAATTATTACGTATGAACCTACTTTATCCACTCGAGTATTGCATCGTTGAGTCAATGATGTAGTTTCATAAATAAAAAATAATAATTGCAGGAGAAAACACAATTCTGAAAGTTCACATAGACATAGGGGTTCCGTTTCACCTTAAAGTGAAAAAGTACTGGAAATCAAGGTTGCTCCACGATTACTTGACTTGTTTGGTAATTTTTCTCCAACTTTTTTCTCCGCGTATTGATCTTTCTTCGATTTGAATAATAAACTGATGATCAACTTTTTGTATTTTCAATCTATACTTCACCTGGAATCGTAGACGTCCTAATGGAGGACGAGCATATGGAATACCCCTGAATGCATTGATGACTCTTCCTTTTCTCGATTGCAGCAGAGATCCTTCCAGTATTCCATTACTAATAGTCACTCTATTATTGTGTGCAGCACACACAATGGAAATCCATAATGAAATAACAGCTACGAGAGGAATTGTAGGAAATATCCGCATGTCTGGTTACGTTGAGATGATCCTGAACATGAAGTGATTCATTGTGCTAATTACATTTTCTTTTATACACAGCAGCTGTGTCATTTGCACAATGTTTCCGCCAAAAACACAATAAAAAGAAAATCCGATATTTAATAAAATACCTTTCTTTCCTCGTTTCTCAGTCCCAAGCCTGTGGTGAATCCCCTTATCTATGTTGAATAAACATTATTATCCAAGCAAAAACAAGGGAGTGATTGGTACTTTTGGCCGGTCACAGACGTTGGTCGGATGCATTAATTGGTATTGTTTTTCATTAATGTTCCGCGAACCATTCAATTGATTCATTTTTTTTCTTCTCGTAATACTCGACAGGGTCTTCAATCTATCAATTCAATGGAAGCCCTTCCTTCAAAGTTTCCGAAATATTGTTTTCTGATCTTTCCCTGAAACTTGCTTGTACGTACTACAACATGAGGAAAAAGGAAAACTACAAAGGAAAACAACATGGTTAGAACTATTATACACAGAATAGTAAAACTTTGTATTATAATATTAAAGATAAAAAAGAGTTTATAGAGTTTGTGAATAGATTGAGCTCCAATCTTTGTCATCTGCCAAGTTCTTTGACACGTGTAGAAATAATCAATGACCCCAGTTATGAGTGTGGATATGATGATAAGGATTTAAATCATACAGTGTGGCAATATCCTCTGTTGCAGGAACACAGATCTAACTTATTTGTTAAACTTCAAAGATATGGCTTATGTACATACAATATTGAAATGTTCCTCGTGAAACCAGATGTATATGCTCTCCAAATATTTGTTGGTTTTGTAAAAAAATGTAAAATAAATGTATAAGGGAAAGAAAATAAACCTAATTGTAATCAATTTATTAAATGTAGTAAACCTTCAATAAAGGAGTTTGTTTTTTAAAAAAACATCAGTGAAGGATGGAGCCAAATATCATATGCCAAAATTTCAGATTTTTATTGACGAATTTCACTGTACACGGAGAGAAATATTTAGTAAAAATTACGGAATAATCCACGTAATCGGCGATGAGGAATCGTTTTCCGGAAATTTTTATTGGAATGAAAGAGAAGAAGTCTGAAACGTTCAGTGAATTCTCAGGTTTATCACCGAACAAAGTACGAAATTGTCACATAATTTTTCCCGAAGAAGTACAATCTCACTGAAACTTCCCGACTTATTATGCCTCTAAAATTTAAAATTCTTGAACGTTCAACACTTTTTATGAAGCTAGTGAGTTATTTCTACGTTCCGTTCTGTAACATTTTTCAATCATTGGAGAAAAATTACGGAACGACTTGTTGTACCCACAACGGTGAGTCATCAGATGGGTGGTTAATTTTTACAGTACAAATCGTAGAATTTGCGTGATGATTCGTACACTTGCAGTTCCGACTCGCACTTTTTACTGAATTTTACTTCCCTCGCGGATTACATTTCGAAACGTAATTGTTGTTTTTTTCTAGTAATTTTTATTGAATTTTTCTCTCCCTGTATTTATGCCACATTTTCTAAAAAATAAATCACCCAAAACAGAAATTCCTACACACATACGTATAGACATGTTGTCAACTAAAATAATTTCTTCATGTTTCATAACATTTTACATTGTTTCCGAATAAAATTAGAAAATATCAAAATCGGACAACTACAAAGCATCCATTTGGGAGCAAAAGATCTCTTAAGATTTCTTTTCAAATTCACTAGATCTCATGATAAATCATAGTTGACAAGTATTGGAATGGAACATGCCAGAGAAGAATAACAATCCTGAGAAATTTGTCATCAAACTCTGCGCAGAATTAGGACTTGGAGGGGAATTCGTGACTGCAATTGCTTATAGTGTCAGAGGCCAATTGTCACGGTATTAGGAAAATTACGTTTTCTGTGAAGTCCCCCTCAGAGGCTGACCAGTGGGCACCTTTCCTAGAGATTTTGATTGATGCTGAGATCGTGGAGAAGAAGATCGAGGATCAGGACATACACTCGACGCATGAGGAGACTCCCATATGTCATGTGACAAAAACATGACTGTTGTACCATAAGACCATCACATTCTATCTAATTAGTAGCACGCCAGGTGCTACTAGTTTGAAATTTGATAATTTCCCCATGATAAGTCTCATAGATTGATAATCATAAAGCGTTAATATGAGTGTGGTATTTCAATTTGAAAAAGAGAAAAAACAATGATAATTTTATTGACGAAGTGTCATTTTTCTTACTGGGAATGGTCGAACAGTCGAGATCAATGAATAACTATGATTTCAGATCACGTTCATTTAAGATTGAAATTGTTTATCACAATTTTCCTTATAATATTTATCTAAAAGTTTTCAAACCAAATATTCCGCGAAATATTCAGAAGCATATTCAGGATTCCTTGCCTCAAGGTCCTCCACCCTGGCAACGAAAAACCAGAGAAATTGAAATATTTGTAAGAAGTTTCTGTGACAACAACATTCACGATGGTCACATTACATCTAACTAGTTGATTGTCATATGCCAGTTGATAGTATGAACGAAATTCTGGCATGAACAAAATGACGTCACATGACTGCCATATTTTTCTGACCTGACAAATTTTGAAACCTGACGTTATTTCGCATCCCTGGTGAAGATCAAACGAATTATTTTGAGTCAAACCTCCTCTTTTCTTGTATATTCCGTGTGGGTTTTTGAAAACGAGTTGGGTTGAAGGCGCCAGATAATTGAAGCATTATTTCGTTTATTCATTAACTACCTTTATATACGATCATCTTCTTCTTTCACGTCATTCTTTTATATTCATTCTTAGTTCGTAAACGCGTCACCTCTTTTGGTATTTTTTTTTAATTTTTGGTTCCACATGTATCCCCTCTCGGGTTTTTACATTTTGTTCCCTTCCCTATCTGCGGTCACGCTGACTCAATGGGCACAGTGGTTCTCTACTCAGAAAGACATTACTGAAAGCGATTCTTCTTTCTTTTTTCTTTCTTTTAATTTATTGAATGTATTAATCCTTCAGGATTATTTACAGCGATAGTTACATGTAATTTGATTAAAAATTTAATACATCATATCTCTTGATTGTACGCTATAAATTTGAATTTTACATTTTTGGATGAAGTCGTTGATTATCTTGAGGTGTTCTGGCGTCGTTGAGGCCAGGAACGCAGCTATGGAGGAAGGGTTCTGGAGTTTTAGGCTCCGGAGTTTGCTTTCTAGTACTTCTCTTTCCTTTTTATACTGTGAAAATTGCCAGATTACATGATTTATGTCCTGCTCTGCAGCTCCACAGCTACATCCCGGGTTCTCAACGACACCTATTCTCTGAAAGGATTTGTTCAGGTGGTAATGGTCAGATCTGGCTCTGTTGACCCATACAATGAGTTTTCTGGGGAGTTTAAGTTTTTTAAACCAGGGGTGTTTATTGTTTTTCCAGTAATTTCTGAAATATTCTTGCCCTTTAGGTTGAAAGTGATTGATGATTTTTTAATTCACGGTTTAACGAAATCATGTCAATGCAAAAAAGTGGGCGGAAATGACTAAAAAAATCAATTTTTTAATGTTTCCGGAAAGTTCTAAAATCGATACATTTTTTCGAATAATGGAAGAATACCCATAAATTCGACTTCTATCCTTGTTTTTCCATAGAATGAATAGAATAAATGACAGAAATTGAGAATTGGAGACTAAAAATTTTATCGGCTTATTATTGTGTAATAATTATTCTAAGTATGATTGCCTGCTCGAGCGCGAAAGACCGGCACGGCAGGCAAAATTGGACCACAAATTGAGTGTATCTCTGAAAATATCTTTAGACATTTCTAAGTGCGTAGGACTCCTTATAACAAAGTTCTCCAGTGCAGCCGTTCGGACCGGGTTCCAGATCTCGGGGAACTGTGACGTCCGTACAGGTACCGGGTTTCTAAGGAACAAATATCATAATCAAAGACATTTTTACGACCGGTATATTCAACATCTATGTTATCCCCTGGGCTATTCTACTCGGTCAACCTTAGATGTTTTTAAGGCATAAATTACATGGAAAGCGGGATGCTATATGCTATCCATCGACTTTCCGGACCTCTATACGAGGGAAATAATTGAATAATTATCAATGCACAAATTAAAAAATTCGGAGGCACATGGGCTCGAACACAAGTGGGGTATGATCCCACATCTCCTGTTTGCCGGACAGGTGCTCTGCCAATTGAGCTATTGTGGCCTCCTCCGCATCTCCGAATTTCAGAACTTGTGTATATCGTCTCACTATCCCCACTCCCCCCCCCCTTTCCGTTTAAAGCCATACTGAAATATCACAATCAAAGACATTTTTACGACCGGTATATTCAACATCTATATTATCCCCTGGGCTATTCTACTCGGTCAACCTTAGATGTTTTTAAGGCATAAATTAAAGTAATTTTTAAGAGTAAGTAATTTTAAGAGTAAGTAATTTTTTTCGTGTAATTACCGGCCATGGTCCATTTTGTGTCATCGTAACAAATATCATTTTATGATATACCAATTGCAATGTAATAACTGACAAATCCTTTTTAGCTCACCCAAATCTCGCAAAATTAGTCCATAAAGTCGTCATTGCATCAACCATCTGAAAGTCCCTTGCACTCATAGTACCACTAGGAAACTCTTTTTTGTTAACCGGGAATAAATACAAACGATCTTCACCATGTCCGGCACCATAGTCTCTCTGAGGATTGTAACCAATGCTTGCTTTCTTCACATCTCCATTATATGCAAAATAGTAGTAGTAAACGGGGCTTCTCCGGCGGATATGTTCTTTGACTGCAGTTGCAATACCGACATTGAATAGTGCATCAGAACTCATCTGGAAAATACTCGGAATTTGAAGGAAAATCGTAACCGACCAGGAAGAAATTAAAAACAAGAGTTTCATACATTTACTAGGTTCAATCTAGTTGAGTTGTCGATTCTTTTGTCACCGAAATAATGTTTACGGATTCGACGGGAAATTTCAAT